ACCGGCTAACCATCAACCGAATATTACTCCACTCGATAATGCGGAACTACAAATTTATCAGCAACAACGTGGTTGTCTTCTATTCGCAGCCGTAACGTGTCGTCCAGATCTCGCATATGCCGCTAGCCAGCTCACGCAATTTCTGCGTCGACCTGAGGGGAGAATCGGCTAGATCTTCTTCGCGCTCTGCAGTATTTCATTTCGACACCTGAAGTCGGACTTACCTATCAAGTTACTACTACGAAAACCTTATATATTAACGGGTACGTCGATGCTGATCATGCAGCAGACACTACTAATCGTCGATCTCGCACCGGATTCATCTATCGACTCGAGCCTATTGGGACTATCTCATGGAATTCTACAAAGCAAGAGCTAGTAGCTCTTTCATCCTCTGAAGCCGAGTCTATAGCTACCTGCACAGCTACTCGCGAAGGTCTCTATCCGCAAGAGCTACTGGAGGAAGCAAAATTGACGATAAGTACACAGTTCACCCTGCAGTGCGACAATCAAAGTGCAATCAAAATTGCGCATCAACCAGGTTTCACCAACAGGACGAAACATATTTCGCTACGGTTCTTTTTCGTCAAAGATGAAGTCGAGAAGGGGAAAATGCGATTGGTCTACTATTCGACCAATGAAATGGCTGCAGATTTTCTCACCTAGAAGCTGACACGTCAGAAGTTCCAATACTGCAACGAGCTCTGCGGAATCATCAAGAAGTGACACTATCGAACTTCCAGAAATGAAGGGGAGTGTTGTGATAAAATCATACTTGAGCATTTATGTAAGTAGTTCGGATAGATATTGTCGAGTTACACTGTAGTTAGCATCCGTAGAATGATGTCAGCAAATAGCGCTCATCTGGATGGTTACGTCAGCAAGCCGTTTCAGTCACGCGAACAGTCGTGCTCTTTTCAGTAGCGTTCAGAGCGCATAGCGCAAATAGCTCGAACAGGTCCATCAGCGAATAGGTACATTTAGCACATATAAAAGTAGCTGGTACAACTTCAATTGTTAACTTGTTCTTCAGTAAAATTCTGGTCAACACTTTACAAGTTCTAAGACTTCCGCTGTCTTTCTAGTCTACTATACCAGCAAAGATCCTTGGTTAAGTCTTGAAGTATCGCAAGGCTGCAACACAGACTCTGGTGTTACAACTTGCTAATACTGGCTGTTACTGGAGGTACTTCCAGTATTACTTTCTACTTCAAGTACTTGTGTCTGCAGATTCTATACTTAGTCTCCTGCACCACCTTTGTAATTCTTTCAATGGAAACCAGTAGGAGGACAGTTGCTTTCACTTGTATGGTGGTGGTTCGTTAATTGATTGATGCAATGACGCATGCAAGGGCTTGGCCCCGTGCTGCCGTATATATGAACTCACCTAGGCCGGTCTGATTTCCTTGGGGTACAGCCCAAGTGTTTTTACGCAGGAATCACGCCGACTCGTTGGTCGTGGGGATGCTTCCCGCGAGCACCTCGGCGTTTGCTGACAACCGCTCCCCAAGCAACTCATCGAATATGTTGTACCACGCCGGCACTCCCCGCGGTCGACCAGCTCCCGAGCGATTGAACCCACGATCTCGCCAGCGACGCCACATGTCTTTCATACGGTGGATCTTTACAAGGATACAGGAACGACGAGCTGCTCGAGCGTGCTTGGTCTTGTTGCACGCACTCACTGCAGACCAAATTTTGCTGGCCTTTGCTTACCTCTCACACTTGGACCTTCCGTTTAAGGCAGGAAGTCCACCCGTGTCCCTCGCGCGATTGAGTTCGAAGAACACTGTTCTAGCAAACGCTGGCTATGGCGGCTCCAGCAGCTTTCGACCTGCCTTCCCTTGTCGGCATTAAGTTGAACACGGAAATCTGCAAATTTGACATCCATGGTTCCCCATGCCATCACAGCTTCAGCAATAGCTTCTCCCATACAGTCAGGGTTCATCAGCATTTTTCTCATTCGATCGAACCTGACTCACCAATCAGCGCACGACTTCTAGAACCTCCGTCTAATTTTCACACTTGGAACTTCCTAGAAACCTCAACAAGCCAGCTTCGCAATGGCCGCTAACGCGTGGCTGTACGCAGCTTGCCAGCTGATGCCTCTCGACCTCCTCGTGCTCCTTGCCGTCACCAGCGCCAGTGCAGCACGGCCCATGCTGCAGCCTGAGACATCACGCTTCACCGCAACACGCACCGTTGACAACAGTATTCTCGCCTCCGCATCCGGATCTGCCTCCGGATCGACCTTGGGATCTCCGCACAGGGCGGAGCGAAAGCTGTTCAGCAAGGAGGGGGTGACCATTGATCAGGTCATTACAGGGAGCCTGGGCACGATCGACGGTCCAGATGACAACGAGGTGACTCAGAAGATAGCGGAGATTTTTATGAACGCGGGGTACAACGTGATGGTGATAAAGTGCAGCCACACCATGGAAGGCGGCCCGGATTCCGCCGGCGTTGAGGTGTGGCACTTCTGGGATAACTCCGAACTTACGGTGTACTACAAGACGGGCCCGTTTGAGGTTGCTAATACAGGGTATGGCGGGTACGAGAGCTGGGCGTTCGGCGGGAACTGGCAGCGGATGGAGGCGTATGACGAGGTGGTGCTGTTCTTTTGATTGGATGGATGCATCTATGTGTGCTCTCATTAATAACGACGAGGGTTACAAGTCATATAGCAATTCTAAGACCGAAGATGAGATTTTCGGCATGAGCGTTGCGCTATTATGACATAGTAGCGTTAAGAGGTCTAGAAGAGAAGAAGAGAGAGAGAAGAGAGAGAGAAGGAAAGAAAGAGGAGGTAGCGGAAGGAAAAAGGTAGTAGAAAGAGTGGGGGAGAAGAGAGCAAGAAGGAGGAGAGAAAGAGGAGAGGGGAAGGAGGGAGGGGGGGTGTGACTATATCAGAGGGACATCATGGGACCTGACAAAGCAATAGCCCACGCGCACAGCGCGGGCACAGCGTCTCCAGCACGGCCTATATATGTTTTTTTATGTTTTTCTACACATATGCATCATACATATACTGCATATCTGCTGCACTCTCGAAGCACCTTGTGATGTGGTGCCAGCTCCCCTGCCCAGCACCCAAAGGTACAGGTGCTGGCATCCATCCATTGTCGGAGCCACCCAGCTACCGCACTGCATGCTGCATGGTCACATTTGCCTGCGCCCGGTGCAGTGCCACAGAGAGACGCATAGTGAGGCTCGTCTCAAATATCCGCGCCGACCCGTCATCCCCTGCCCCTGAATCCCTCCTCCGCCGTGCTATCCGCGACGCACACAGCCCTAGGAACTGCCGCAGTGGCTCACTCAAGTACCCAACAGTCTCCACTACGCAGGCATAGAACTCTGCATCCGGCTGCAAACCCTGTAACACCGGCCTCCAGTGTCGCAGCTTATCCTGCACCCATCTAGCTGCTACGCTGCCAATCTGAGTGGGTGCCATCCGCTTGAACTGCGCATTCCCCTCCCGTTTCGGGTCTGCCACCGAGACGTCTACAATCACCATCAAAGCATCTCGTAGTGCCCTGCAAGTGAGGTCTGGGATGCGCGCGGGTGCCCCTATGCGGCCCGTGCGAATGGCTGGCCTCTGCTGCTGCACGGGCTGCTGCTGTGGCTGGTCCCCTGATGTCCCCCCTCTGGTCGTCGTGCCCCCTCCCAACTGCCCCTCTCACCCTCCCTCTCCTCCCTCCCGCTCTCCCCTCCCCCACTCCCCCTGCCACCCCTGCCCCTTCCGACACCTCCTCTCTCCCTCCCGCCCCGACTCCCCTCACGCCCTCCGTCTCTCCTGTACCCCCGCCTGCTACCGACCCCTCTAGCCCACCCTCGCCCATCCTCCCCTCTGCGTGAGCCTCTCCCAACGCCTCACGACAAAGTGCACCTGTCTCGGTAGTGCCCTGCCCAAGAGCCCGTCCCCTGTCCCCTGCTGCGGCTCCCCCTGGGCTCCCTGCGGCTGCTGCTTCTGCCTGTGAGAGTACGACCCCGTTCCATTCTCTTCTCCTTTCCATATTCCCTTTCCATCTCATTCCTCTTTTTATCTCATCTCATTTAGTTTCCTAATCTCCATTTTCCATTATCCTTTGGTTTATCATGCTATTATCGTTTTTATCACCGGCCAGGCTCTGGATGAACTGGTGCGCTATATCTAGCGTAATCCTGCCGTAATCGCTTAACACCAATAGCCTCGCGTGGCTATACGCAGGGTGATTCTATTTTCTAGAAGGGTCTATTCCCTTGGGATAAGATAAACCTGGTTACCTGATGTACTTTGGAAGTATAAAAGCGCCTTGTACTGATCGATAGTGCAACCTTTCCTCGACATATTCGATCTGGTGACACTTGGTATCAGAGCTTTTCTCAATCGGCCGCGCTCAACAAAGCCGCAGCAGCGGGAAAACCTGCCTCGAAAAACCGCCGGGGGCGACCAGTTCAACGCCGATTCTGGTAAGCACCAGCTCCGCGCTTTTTCGAATTACCCCCCTCACGCGTGTTTTGAATAGGATGGCAAACTTCGACAACGCTGAAGTTACCCAGCAGCTCTTCGCGAGCATTGCAGCCCTTCAGGAGGAGATGCGAGCGGATCACGAAGCGTGGTGAAACGAGTTCGAGCGAGTAACTCGACTCGCCGGAGCGCAACACGAAACGACAACGGCGACGACGCAGCAGTCGCAGCAGTTGCTCGAGGCTCCGAAACCGCGCCCACCTGAGCCGTTCAATCCGAGCGATCGAAACTCCGACGTCTGCAGATGGATCGCCGGCATGGAGATCTACTTCGCAGCCGTCGGATGGAGCTCGCCAGTCTGGGATGGTCAACGTGTACGACTCGCGGCGACACTGATGCGAGGGCCGGCACTCGAGTGGATTGAAACCCAGATTCGCACACAGTCATCAAGGAAACTCCGGGCCCTGGAGAAGAGCCGTTCTCCAAGCAGCCTCGGCCAGCTGCTAGCTCAGGAGTAGACAGCAACACAAAGGTGTGTACGGAGTATTGGGATGTACCCTATGACCCAATCAAAGAAACTATCTTCGGGTACTCCGAGCAACGACTGCCCCTCGTGCTCGAGGTCATCTGCAAAGGACGACGCCTCCAAGCACTCGTGGACAGCGGAGCGTCTCACACCGTCTGCAACAAGGCAACAATCGACCGACTTCGAGAAGAGTACAAGCCTTCAGGATTCTCTGCAACGATGGTGGACGGCAGCAAGTTACCAGTACACGGCGAAGCAGTGCTACACTTACAAATTGGACCATTGCGCTGGAGACCTGCACTCCCCATCACCAACATCAAAGGGCTTGACTTGATCTTCGGGCGAGACTTCCTGAAAAGATTCAACCCCGAGATCAACTGGGTGAACCGCACCGCAAGCATCTACAACAATGGACGGAGAATACAGCTACCCAACTGGGACGATACTGGAGATATCCCAGTGGAGACACTCGCACGATTCGAGAAGGACGTGAAGCGGACCGACACCGGGTTCCTGGCGATAGCAACAGAGTTGGAGAATGACGGAGAGAAAGCCTCGGAAACTCCAGAAAAAATCAAGGAATTATTGACGGAGTTCCAAGACATTCTTCCTGACGATCTTCCGAACGAGCTACCGCCATACCGAACGCATAAACACGAGATCGTGGAGGAACCGGGTTCGAAGCCGACCTTCCGAGCACCATACCGGCTCAGCCCTACGGAGCTGACCGACATGAAGAAGCAGATCGAGTATCTCCTAGCCAAAGGACTCATCCGACCATCTACTTCGCCATACGGTGCCCCAGTACTCTTCACCCCGAAACCGGACGGAAGCCTGCGCATGTGCATCGACTACCGAGCTCTTAACAAGCAGACCATCAAGAATAAATATCCGATACCGCGAATCGATGACCTGCTTGACCAGCTTCGGGGAGCTACGGTATTTTCCAAACTGGATCTGCGGTCCGGATACTGGCAGATACGGATGGCGGACAACTCTATCCACAAAACTGCTTTCCGAACTCGGTACGGATCGTACGAGTATTTGGTCATGCCGTTCGGACTCACCAACGCGCCGGCAACATTTCAAGCCGAAATGAACCACATTCTACGCCCACTTTTGGACGAGTGCGTGGTGGTGTACCTGGACGACATTCTCATCTACTCGCGCGACATGAAGCAGCACGTCGAACACCTGCGACGCGTCTTCGAAATTCTTCGACGAGAACGATTCTACGTCAAACTGTCCAAGAGCGAATTCGCCCTGGAGAAGGTCCAATTTCTAGGCCACATGGTGAGCGCTCAAGGAGTTCACGTCGACCCCACAAAAATCGAAGCCGTACGCTCGTGGAAGACACCCGAGAACGTGAAGGAGTTGCAGCAGTTCCTAGGCTTCGCTAATTACTACAACAGGTTCGTGCCACAGTATGCGAAACTCGCAGCTCCACTCACGAATCTGCTGAAGAAGAATACGCCCTACAAATGGGAGAAGAAGCACGAGGAAGCCGTGGAGCAGCTGAAACAGGCACTGACATCCGCCCCGGTGCTCATCTTGCCAGATCCCGAACGTGACTACGTCATCGAAGCAGACGCCAGTGATCAGGCTGTGGGAGCAGTCTTGATGCAAGACCAGGGGAATGGACTGCAACCAATCGCCTACCTCAGCAAGAAACTGCACGGGGCAGAACTCAACTACCCGATACACGACAAAGAGGCCCTTACCATTGTCATTGCCTTCAAAGTGTGGAGATGTTATCTCGAAGGACGCAGAACAACCGTCTACACCGACCACTGCAGCCTGAAATATTTGAAGACACAACCCAACCTTTCCAGGCGGCAGGTCCAGTGGATTGACTTCCTCGAGACGCACTTCCACTACGACATCGTGTACAAGCCCGGCCACAAGAATAAGGCAGACGCCCTCAGCCGGCCTGCACACGTTGCCGCCATTCAGGCCGAAGGGATGAATCCACTACTCAAGGGACTCTTCACACACGGGTACGCCATCGACCCCGAAATTTCCTTGGCAGAAAAAAGACATCTGTTACAGTGGGACAACGACATTGCGTACCGGAAAGGATCAACGAAAATCTGGGTACCCAATTACCCTCCTTTGCGCCAGTTACTACTCGAAGAATATCACGACGTCCTCTACGCCGGACACTTCGGTGGCAACAAGACGCTGACCGGTATCGCAAAGCACTACTACTGGCCCCACTTGGCAGACGACGTTCAGAAATTCGTCACCTCGTGTGATACATGTCAACGGATGAAGAGCAGCAAGCAGAAGAAATCAGGTCTACTACAGCCTCTTCCTGTCCCAGAACAACCATGGCAAGTTACCACCTACGACCACCGGTCATGACGCGATCCTCGTCGTTATCGACAAATTCTCTAAGATGGGACACTTCATCCCGACACACACGACGGCACGTACCGAGGAGACAGCACAGCTCTTCGTTCGTCACATCATCTCACAGCATGGCATCCCAACTACACTCATCTCCGACCGAGACCCCAAGTTCACTAGCAAGTTCTGGAAGGAACTTATGTCTCTGCTCGGCACCAAACTCGCCATGTCATCCGCATACCATCCGCAGACAGACGGACAGACCGAGCGCCTCAACCAGATTGTTGAGCAACTCCTCCGAGCAGCCTGCAAGGACGAGATCTCCAAATGGGACTTGCACCTGCCCGTCCTCGAGTTCGCCTACAACAACGCTACACACGCCGCTACGGGACAGACGCCGTTCTTCCTCTGCTACAGACGCCACCCACTCACACCACAGAAACCGACAACACCAGCAACAGTCCAACCTGCACACGACTTCATCACAACTATGCATCAGCTTTGGGATCGGACCCATAAGCGCCTCCTTGACATTCAACAGCAACAGAAGCGCCAGGCCGATCGTCATCGCAACGACCACACCATTTCCGTGGGAGACCAGGTGCTTCTCGACACCCGCAACCTGGACATCAGCCATCTCCCATCTAAACTTCGACCTCGCTTCTGCGGGCCTTTTCTCGTTGAAGCACAGGTCACTCCTGTTACCTTCCGCTTACGCCTGCCAGCTACCTGGAAGATTCATAACGCCTTCCATGTCCAACTTCTGAAGCCCTATCGAGATCCTAACACGATCTTCGTGGGACGCCAGCCGCCGCCGCCGCCGCCCGTCCTCGTCCAGAACGAACCCGAGTACGAGGTCGAGTCCGTGCTCGCACACCGCCGTCGTCGGAATGGCACCGTGGAGCTTCTTATCCGTTGGAAGGGTTATGATCCTTCTGAGGACAGCTGGGTACCTGAGTCCGACATGGGTAACGCCCGTCGTCCTCTGCATGACTACCTTGTCAAGCAGGGTGTTACTTCTACCACCCAGTTTTGAGGGGGGAAGTGTGAGAGTACGACCCCGTTACACCACTTGGCCTTTTCCATATTTCATCTTCGTTTCATTCCTCTTTTTCTCTCATCTCCTTTGGCCTCATATTCTCTATTTTCCATTATCCTTTGGTTTCTTCCCTTATTATAATTATATCACCAACCAGGCATGGAATGTTCTAGACACGCTATCTAGCGTAATCCTGCCGTAATCCCTTAAAGCCAATAGCCTCGCGTGGCTATACGCAGGGTGATTCTATATTCTAGAAGGGTCTATTCCTCTAGGATAAGATAAACCTGGTTACCTGATGTACTCTGGAAGTATAAAAGCACCTTGTACTGATCGATAGTGCAACTTTTCCTCGACACATTCGATCCTGTGACAGTGCAGATCCCATTTGGAGATCTCGTCCTTGCAGGCTGCTCGGAGGAGTTGCTCGACAACCTGGTTGAGGCGCTCGGTCTGTCCGTCTGTCTGCGGATGGTAAGTGGATGACATGGCGAGTTTGGTCCCGAGCAGAGACATCAGTTCTTTCCAGAATTTACTGGTGAACTTAGGGTCTCGGTCGGAGATGAGTGTGGTCGGAATGCCTCTTGTGAGATGATGTAGCGAACAAAGAGTTGTGCCGTCTCCTCGGTGCGTGCTGTCGTGTGTGTCGGGATGAAGTGTCCCATTTTTTGAGAACTTGTCAATGACGACGAGGATCGCGTCGTGACCGCTTGTGGTAGTTGGTAGCCCGGTAATGAAGTCTAGGCTGACCACTTGCCATGGCTGTTCTGGGACAGGAAGAGGCTGTAGTAGACCCACATTTTTCTGCTTGCTGCTCTTCATCCGCTGACATGTAGTGCACGAGGTGACGAATTTCTGCACGTCATCTGCCATGTGGGCCAGTAGTAGTGTTTGGCAACACCGGTGAGCGTCTTGTTGCTACCAAAGTGTCCCGCGTACAGGACGTCGTGGTATTCTTCGAGTAGTAACTGGCGCAATGGAGGGTAATTAGGTTCCCAAATCTACCTTGATCCTTTCCGGTACGCGATGTCGTTGTCCCACAGTAGCAGATGTCGCTTCTCTGCCAAGGGAATTTCAGAGTCGATGGTGTTCCCGTGTGTGAAGAGTCCCTTGAGGAGTGGATTCATCCCTTCAACTTGGATAGGGGCAACGTGTGCAGGCCGGCTAAGCGCATCGGCTTTCTTTTTATGGCCAGGCTTTGTACACGATGTCGTAGTGGAAGTGTGTCTCGAGGAAGTCGATCCACCGAACTTGTTGCCTGGAAAGGCTTGGTTTGCGTCTTCAAATATTTTAGGCTGCAATGGTCGGTGTAGACTGTCGTCTTGCGTCATTCGAGATAGCATCTCCACGTTTTGAAGGCGATGATGATAGCAAGGGCCTCCTTGTCGTGTATCGGGTAGTTGAGTTCTGCCCGTGTAGTTTCTTGGTGAGGTAGGTGATTGGTTGCAGTCCATTCCCCTGGTCTTGCATCAAGACTGCTCCCACTGCCTAGTCGCTGGCGTCCCACAACCCATCAATCCCCGTTTTTCCTCAACTACGGACAGGACCCAGTGGTACCCTCTACACCGAATATCAAGACACCCGTGCCCCGGTCCCAAAAATTTGCCGAAGACATACTCGCAGCCCGAGAAAAGGCAGCTGAGGCAATACGAAAAGCCGACCTGATCACAAGCCGACAGGCCGATCGTCATCGACGTGCATCACTTACAAAGTGGGGATCTCGTCCTGCCTGACACAAGCAATTTGCGGCTGCCGATCCCGAGCAAACTCCAACCCGATTTTGTGGCCCTTTTCAAGTGACCAACATGGTGACACCAGTCAGGGCTCACCTCCGACTCCCGGCTAACTGGCGTCACCACCTGGCTTTCCACGTCAGCCTCCTACGGCCATATGTCCCCAGTTCGACGGAGCTGGCACGCCAACACAGTGTGCCACAGCTGACGCCACTGCAGGAACCGACGACGGAGCCCTTGAAAATTCTCGGCCACCGAGTCACGACGCAGCTGAACCATCGGATGGTTGAGTTTCTCGTCAGATGGCGCGATCGCCGTCAGAAGATGAAAGCTGGGTACCTCTCGCTGAGCTAGAATTACATCCGATTCTAACAGCGTATTATCGACGTCGGAATGTTTCCGATGCCCACGGCCTCGTTTAGGAGGGGGGGGGGGGGGAGGTAGTGGAAGGAATTTCCATTCCTTACTGAGTCGTACGCTAGCGCGTACACCCGAATTCCTCGACTCGTCACGTTCAGCCAGAATTGTCGGCCCAACCCTTTCCCGGGTCGCGTCCGGCACTGTCGCCACATTGCCGAAACTACCCACGTTCCGAGGTTATCGCCCTAGTACGCCAACCCCTAGATAACCTCGTGCCTTTCATTGCAATAGCGACCTTGTATATTCTCATTATAGTTCATTGACACTTCCTAAATCATAACACGGTACTCTTAAGACACGCCTGAACCCTGAACCCACCGCACCCAACCGCATTCGAGCACGCCCTGACGCACAGCGTGACTAGCATCGCCTTTCCATGACAGAGCTGAAAGGCGCTCCCCCAAATTCTAGGACGAGACGAACCGAATTGCATGTCACGATCGCACACACACAAAGCGGTGACAGTTTCGCCAATTTCAGCCCGATCGCATGGCACTTGTTGTCAGGGATTTCGCGGACTCCCAAAATATTTTCGCAAAAGTATTTCTCATCTCACTTGACGGCTGGCCGTGGTCAATGACGGCCAGCGGACGAAATGGCAACTGCCCCCTTCCCCTTCCACCCCACGCCACGCCCAAACCTTCCATCATATTCGTTCTTCTATCGGGTCTAGTGCTAGCGATTCACGAGGATACAGGAACAGAAACAGGAACGGCCTACTCTGCTCCTGCATTCTGCTCCTCGTGTGCTATCAGCGCAGTCCAACTGTCGTCGGACCTCGCTTACCTCTCCCGTCAGGACCTTCCGCATACGGCAGGAAGTCCACGCGTGACGCTCGCGGCTGAGTCCGAAGCGCAGAACGTTGAGCATGGCGGCTCCAGCGATTCTTGAACGGCCTTGCCGTTTATGCTCGAGTAGGAAAGTCTACAAATTAGACATCCGAGATCTCCAATGTCATCACAGCCTCAGCAACATCTTCTCTTATACAATCAGTATTCATCAGCGTCGATCAGTATCGATCAGCGTTTCCCTCATTCTGTCAGATCTGACACACCAATTAGCGCACGGCCTGTTGAACTTCTTTTCATATTCCGCTCTTCTTGAGACGTCCTAAAAACTAGTCTTCTCAGCCAATCTATATTTCATCGAATCAAGCCAGCTTCGCAATGGCCGCTAAATCGTGGCTGCTCGCAGCTCGCCAGCTGCTGCCTCTTGCCCTCCTCGCGCTCCTCGCCGTCACCGGCGCCAGCGCAGCGCGACCCATGCTGCAGACGTCATCCTCCGCCGCAGCAACCGCCATCACCAGCGGCAGCACATCCGAATCCACCTTGGGATCTCCGCACAGGGCGGAGCGGAAGCTCTTCAGCTGGGATGGGGTAACCGTTGATCAGGTCATTGCAGGGCCTGGGCACGATCGACGGTCCAGAGGACGACGAGGTGACTCAGAAAATAGTGGAGATTTTTATGAACGCGGGGTACAACGTGATGGTGATCCAGAGCA